TGCAACTCATCCAGAAGCACCAACCAACTTTTGCCACACTATGTGCAACAGGAAAAATCATGCGCATAGAGTAGAAACAACCATCCAACAACCATATATGAGATCTTTTTGTTCACACACTACAGTGAGATATGACCAAAAAATCTTTCCTACTTATAAGGGTTTGAGTTGGTGGTGAGTTCACTCACCCTCTTTCCCACTCTTACAAGTAGGACACGCAGTAGCCGAAATAAAAATAAATCACACCAACGACCTCCTTTCCACATGGAGATTTTAAAAGAAAAAGTTGTATCTCTTCCACACCATTCCATCTGCCGCTATTCTTACCCAATCCTCTAGTTCATGATGGGCGATAGTATACAAAGCATGTCATTGCTAAGTGTTGTCATTCACCCATTTAAAAACGTGTCATTACAGTGTAAGGTATGTTCATATCAAAAATTCCATCAATGAGTAAAGTGACAGGCAGATAGTCCCAGAACTAAGAATAGCTCCGGCTGCATGCAAAGGGAAATAAAGTTTTATTCTACCAGAATGTTTAAATGTAATGAGCCAACTAACATGAATAGCTCTGACGCGTTCATCCAAATCTGACAAACTTGTGGAAATTCTATACTAGGCATGGCTACCCATTAAGAATGTATTCATTACAATCACAAGGTAATCTAAAATGAATTTCTGCGCAAGTGCTGGTTGCAAATCTGCAACATAGGGAAATGGGATCCTAATCTTGTATGAAAATACTTGAGGCCAAACTCCACACAACCTTCATAAGATCACTACCTTAGCAGCCACTACTATGTTAGAAATCATGACTACAATTTGTAGCCGTGCAAAAAATTGCAAGCCCGACAAGGCCAATGATTTTTCACTGGATCCAACCCAGCATTTCAACAAGACATGGTATGTCTGAACCTGGTAAATAAGTAGTGCTCTGTACTGAACAAGGGATGCATGAACTCAGGAACCAGCGCAACGCTCACAGCGATTGTTACAGAGCAATCAGACAGAACTGGGTGAAATTTAAAGGACAACTAGTTGAAAGGCTTACAAGTTCAGAACTAACTGTTCACTAATTAGCACATATGGTTATTTTTTCCGCATAAATAGTCAAACCATTAATAATTCTCCATAAAGGATGCAATGACCAAAAATAGGACCAACGTACATCACATCATTGTGAGAACGGACTATACAGAAAACTACTAGTACTACTGTACTAGCATTAGATAGCATGCAGGGTCTTTATTCAGTTTCTGGATGGATGATTGCAAATGATGATATGCAGGACTGTAACCTCATGTTCATGCTCCAGATTTTCTTTTCCCAAGTATACTAGGAGCAACCTGGGACTTGAGGAGATCCTTAATAACACCAGGGCATCTCTTGGTTAAAAGCTCGAAACCTTCAGACTCAATGGCTGCATCCAGATTGTTCGGCGAGCTGAGGAACACCAAGCATGTCGCCTTAAGCTCATGGCAGTGGTGCTGCTCCGCCAAGGCCAAGATAGTCGCCACGGAGCTCGTATCGATACAATTGCACAACTTCTCTTCACAAATCAGCTTCAGCCTCTCCAAATCATGCTTGTCTGCTGCAACAAGCAAATGCTGAGCCATGGCAGATTCCTCCTGTTTATCCATAGCAGGCAGTGCATCCGTGTACATGAAAGTAAGCAAAGCGTTGAACACTTCTGGCTTAATGTCATGTATGCGTATGGCCCCAGTAGTGGTTCCCTCTTTCATCAGCCCAAAGAGCTCTGCTCTGAAGACCGGAGACCGTGCCGCGAGCACCGACCGGTGAGCAGAAAATGTCTTCCTGCCGACTCGGAATTTGACATCGACACCCACCTTGCTTGACAGGAGAAGCCCTAAGTGCCGGTGCAAGTCTGACGGTGGCACCAGGATGGATGGTGTCTCCTGCGCATGGAACTCACTCATGATAGTGACATTGACCTTGACAGTGAATGAATCGTACTGGAGATGCTCTGATTTCTCCAATTCCTCCCTTTTCATAAACCTCCCGAATCCCCAAGTTTTATTCACGGAAAAGTCTTTGATCGCGGTAGTCAAGGTATACACCGGCACCGGCTTCCCATCTTTGTCGGTGTACTCGGACTCGTCACCGTTGGGATAGTAACGAACACGCCATGTGCGGCCTCCCACCTGGAACGAGCAAGAGTCGATCCACTTTCCATTGGGGACCTCCTTGGTGCGCGAGTAGCCGACGATCTTTAGCAAGTGGTAGCCGCTCACGGCCCCGGCAATGATGGAGGATGCGGATCCCGAAGGGAGGCCGTCGCCGCCGAGATGCGAGGAGATCGCCATCGTGTGCGACTTGTCGGTTGGACCCGGTCGCTGGTGGGGAGAGGCGGCGGCAGCGGCGGGTGGTGGGGCTAGGAAAGTGGACGGCGGCTAGGGTTTTGGGCGGTGGATGGTCAAGCCAGGAAAAGACTGAACGCAGAATTTTTTCACTGGACGGAGAAGGCAACTTGACTCTTCAGCTGGTCTATCCGTGCTCCGTGGCCTATCTCTTCGCGTTCTCGTTCACGGAATACATTGATTTCCATTTCCACCTGAGTAAAATTCACTGGTGGTCACTGTACTTATCTTGCTGGTTCACTTAGATCCCTGTACTCAAGAACTTAGTCAATACGGTCATTATATACTCATCTTCGTATTTTCTCTACGTTGACCGGTCAGCTCTCCACCCCCACGCAGGACCCACCTGTCAGTGAATAGAAGAAAGAAAGAAAGAAAGAGAAGGATAAAATATAGCTGAAGTGGGTAATCGAACCGGAGACTTGCAGGTGAGGGATAACACGCACCAACCACCTGTGCGCGCAAAGAATTCTGTCATTAACAAGAGCCTCACTCATTTGTATTCGTTTTTGCGCAAAAGCCTCACTCATTTTATATAGTGTAAAGAACACACGCGTGCAACAAGATTTGGCACACACACGCGCGCAACGCATGGCACACATACGGGTATGTTCTTTTTTAAACGCTAGTGTACGCTCACTATAAAGTACTGTACATGATTATTATTTTTTGTACAGCTCATAAAAAATATACTATTTCATAATGAAATTTTAACCACATCTACAAATATATGTGTATTTATTTTCAGCCTTTTTTACCTTAAATTTTTAGTTTTGAATCTTTTAAAATGTGGAGCCTGAGTGCCAAAAAGCCTCACTCATTTGTTGGCAATTTAGCATACTATAAACATAATCATCTTAATAATAATAATACAAGAGCGATAGATGATGAGGAAAAAATACTAAATATATGAGGGCAGAGAGTATGAACCCATCTTCGAAGAATTTGCAAAGTGATTTGCTGCAAGGAGAACAAAGAACCATAGAAGAAAAATGTTGTACTAGTCCCGGAAGTGTGGACTTGTGTCATTGTGCGGGATGGGTACCCGTTGGTTTGGGAGTTGGAACATTGCACGGGAGGTTAAACCGAATTATTCTCTTGATTAATACTCCCTCCGTTCCAAATTATTGGTCGTAGAAATGGATGAATTTAGAACTAAAATACATCTAGATACCTCCATATCCGCGACAAGTAATTCAGAATGGGGAGAGTACTATTCATTGCTATTTATTTAAGATAACAAAATGTGCGTCGCCTACCCCTAAAAAAATGTGCGCTCAGTAGACAACACAAAAGCGTGTTGTGCTCAGGTGGCGTGGAAGTTGGAACGTTGCACGGGAGATTAAACATTCCCGAATTACTCTCTTGATTAATACTGTTCATTGCAATTTATTTAAGAAAACAAAATGTGCGCTCCGTACCCCTAAAAGAAAGTGCGCTGCGTGCGTGTGTTTGTATTAGGACAAAAGAAATTCGCTCAGTAGAAAACAGCAAGTCTGTTGTGCTTAGGTGGTTAGCGCGAGTAAATCTGGCGGTCAAGCCTCTTGTTCAAATCCTCACTCGCCCAAGAATTTATCTTTCTCTTTATTATTTTCTTCTAATCACTGACAGCTGGGACCCGCATGGGGGTGGGGAGCTGACCGGTCAACATAGTGAAAAATACGAAGCTGTAGGTTTTAGTGGTGACCGTATAATCATCAAGTTGAGTATATAGTGACCGTATTGACTAAGTTCTTAAGTACAGGGACTAAAATGAATCAGCGAGACAAGTACGATGACCATCAGTGAATTTTACTCTTTCCACCTGAGTCAGATCGTCCTACACCGAAATGGAAAATATTCAACAATGCTCTTTCACAATTTCCTCGCTGTATTGATTTGTTTTTTCTTTCAAAAAAAGTAAGAGATTTGGCACGCTTTTTTGCAGAGATTTTTTTCCCCGAAAAGGCATATGGCCATATGCCAAGCTTCACATTAAGCTTACGAAAAACACCTATATAGAAAGTAAAAATTACACTCAAATTCTTGGGATGCCAAAGTCTTCTTCCTCCTCCATCCACCACCAACACATCGTGAGCATCTTTGCCTTCGCGGAGCAAACTTTTTTAAAACCAGGAGCTTATGAAAGTAGCGGTCGGAAAGTCGTCAATGCAAACCAGGAGACACAGTTGGCCATGTTCTACAAAGCAAATCACCCCTTCGGAGAAAAGAACGCCGATAAGGACCTACAAAAACTCCGATGACCATGATAGTCGGTCGAACGGGATCTACCGAAAACATAAATCAGCAGGGTCCCGAAAGACCCGTCGGAGACACAAGGCCGCACGACCAACGCCGGTGATAAGCACACCGACGAACGGGGATAGGGCGAGGAAGACATATTATTCCTAAATTGGGAAAGTGTCGCCGCCACAACGTCTCAAACCAAACACGAAGACTCGCTAATGAAAACTAAGTCAAATTTCACACACCATTGCACGCCAAGTCCACACCTAAGATCAAGTTCGTCGTCGTCCAATGCCATGCGTCGAGGCCATCTTCTCCGATGGCCTAGCCAGGACAGGCCGCCATAGAAGCACACTTGCTGGATTCGTCTGGCCGCTAACGCGGACCCTTTAAGATAGTCAGCATCTCAGACTTTCTTTAGTTCCTTATGGCATCTTCAACGCGGACCCTAAAACGGACACACTATCATCCACGGACACGTCCGGACGTGCCAATAGATAGTGACACAAGAACCGGCATCCAACGCTTCCTGCAAACCTTCATCTGGAATTCGAACTAATCCGGACACAATTCATGCAAACACAACGGAACTCATTCAATCGGACTTGAGTTTGATATATTTTTAGATAAACTGGATGATATTTCGTATGTTCAACTAATAAAACCTAAAAATAAACTAGCTTGTAGTGGATGGTGACCTCGTACGCGCGGTCAAGCTGGCCGATGGCACCTCCATCGCCGTACGTATCATTGTCATTGTTATCGAAGTGGTCCCTCCAGCGGCGGAAGACGGGGGAGCGCGACAGCCATGCCCGCCCGCTGCCTGGCGCTCGCGAAGGAGTTGTTCCACTTCCTCCTGTGTTGTGCGGGGGACCGATGCGGTCAATGCCCACCCTGGCTAGGGAGCCTTGCTCTTGCCCCTGCCATCGCCGCCGACTGCTGTCTCACTGAGAGAGCATTCCTCGTGCGATCTTCGTGAGCTCCCTGTCGAGGCGGCATAGGCACCACAAGGTCATCTCCGCAATAGTCAGCGACCGGTAGTGGGACCAGAACTCTGCGAGGTTGGGTTCCGCGTGGACCCAGGCTGACACCTTGTCGGACTTCGCGAACACATAGCGGCGCGCCACCTACCTAGTTGCCCTCTCCTAGGGCGCCATGATGCTCTGCGGCGACGAGGAGTCATCGTGGCCACCGAGGGGGTAGAGGAGGTTTCCACATGCCTTTGTGATCGTCGACGCCAGCTCCTCCTTCAAGGCCTTGCCATGCCAGACATGGCGCGACGGCGATGTCGGCTGGTAGATGTGGCCGTACCAACTATGTTGTGTCGCTTCCTCCTTCACATGACCTCCGATTTGGACACCGCGGTTGCGTGGGGGGGCGTCGGATCCTCCTTTAGGCGGGCTGATATGTCTCCGTCGTATCTACTTTTCCAAACTCTTTTGCCCTTGTTTTGGACTCTAACTTGTATAATTTGAATAGAACTAACCCGGACTGACGCGGTTTTCAGCAGAATTGCCATGGTGTTATTTTTGTGCAGAATAAAAAGTCCTCAGAATGACCTGAAACTTCACGGAGCCAAGTTTTGGAATTAATAAAAAAATATTGATGAAAGAATCAGCAGCAGGGGGCCCACACCATAGCCACAAGGGTGGGGACGCGCCCACCCCCCTGGGGCGCGCCCTCCGACCTTGTGGGCCCCTGGACCTCCACTGACCTCAACTCCAAATCCATATATTTACTTTTGGGGAGAAAAAAATTAGAGAGAAGGATTCATCGCATATTACGATACGGAGCCGTCGCCAAGCCCTAAAACCTCTCGGGAGGGCTGATCTGGAGTCCGTTCGGGGCTCTGGAGAGGGGAATCCGTCGTCATCGTCATCATCAACCATCCTTCATCACCAATTTTATGATGCTCACCACCATTCGTGAGTAATTCCATCGTAGGCTCGCTGGACCGTGATGGGTTGGATGAGATTTACCATGTAATTGAGTTAGTTTTGTTAGGGTTTGATCCCTAGTATCCACTATGTTCTAAGATTGATGTTGCTATGACTTTGCCGTGCCTAATGCTTGTCACTAGGGCCCGAGTGCCATGATTTCAGATCTGAACCTATTATGTTTTCATGAATATATTTGTGTTCTTGATCATATCTTGCAAGTTATAGTCACCTACTACGTATTATGATCCGGCAACCCTGGAGTGACAATAGTCGGGACCACTCCCGGTGATGACTGTAGTTTGAGGAGTTCATGTATTCATTAAGTGCTAATGCTTTGGTCCGATACTCTGGTAAAAGGAGGCCTTGATATCCCTTAGTTTCCAATAGGGGCCCGCTGCCACGGGTGGGTAGGACAAAAGATGGCATGCAAGTTCTTTTTCATAAGCACGTATGACTATATTCGGAATACATGTCTACATTATATTGGTGAATTGGAGCTAGTTTTGTGTCACCCTATGTTATAACTGTTGCATGATGAATGCCATCTGACATAATTATCCATCATTGATCCATTGCCTATGAGATTTTCACATATTGATCTTTGCTAAGTTACTTTTCAGTTGTCACTGTTACGATTGCTACAATACTACTACTGTTACTTTTGCCATTGTTACCATTACTTTCATACTACTTTGCTACTAAATACTTTGATGCAGATATTAAGTCTTTCAGGTGTGGTTGAATTGACAACTCAGCTGCTAATGCTCAAGAATATTCTTT